TGCTAAATGTTATAATTTGTATTACCAGCCGCTTCAGGATCTGCAGTATCTGGGGAAACATCTTGATCAGGATCTTCTTCTCCAAATAATTGACTGCAATGTTTATCACATTATAAAATTAAAAATTATTATTTATAAAATTCATTCTTAGTAATATAAATTGAAAAATTCAATTAAAGTTATACATTTTAATCAGTAAAATATACAACAAAATCTTTTTAAATATAAATTATCTTGTAATAATTACTTGAAAAGATGTTTAGCCCAAACAATGCAATGGATGGGTTCGCTGGGTGTGTTGCGGATGGTACAGCCAGGATAGGTCTTTTGCGCAGCTTTAGGCGTACATTCGTAGCATTGACTCATGCCTTTTTTAATGAGTTCAACTTGACCTTCATAACCTGCGGTACCAGATTCAATCAATGGTACATCTGCTGCCAAGCACATACGATTCACATGATTCCTAGCTGCTCTATTGTCAAGAGCATTTAAAACCACTGTGAATCTTTTGAAAAATGTTAAACCAAATTCTGATCTGCAAACACACAAAGTTTTAGAACATCAAATGGCTACATCAGCATCGCTGCAAGCAAGACACGGCATTAAACTTACGATGTAATACTGTCATGATAGTGTATCACTTTGACATCTGGATTAAATGTCAATGCCGTTTCACATGCTATACTAGCTTTTGATTTTCCAACATGTTTCTTTTGAAACAAGAACTGCCTGTTTAAATTGCTGACATCAATCGTGTCCAAATCAATCTGGAAAATAATGAAATAATTAATTAAGGACAATTTGTAGATTATTAATAATAAAATATTAATAATAAAATCATAGAGGAATATTTTCCTTGTATTCAACTGTGATTGGACAATTTTTACAACTACAACCACTTACAAGAAAGCTTACACAATTGTAGAATAAACTTTAGGAAATGAACATGTTAAATTTGTTACTGCATATAATATAATCTTATGGTGTTTACCTTCATAAGCTTTTTATATATAAAAAATTAATTAATTAATAAAACATCAATAATGAAATAATTTAAATGAAAGATATATGATAAGAAAACCAATATATAGATTACAATAAAAACAAACAAATAATATAGCAAATAAAGACAATTAAATTAATTATCAATTAATTGACAAATTAAAACAAATAAATTTGTTAGAAATGAATAAGACAAGTGTAACAAAAATTGAATTAAAGGTAAGTATTTAAATAATTGATCAATTGCATTAGCCCTTCATGGTCACTGTGAATTAAAATAATCCAAGCATAATGTAAATCATCTCAAGAGTATTGGGCTCTAAAACAAAAAGTTTAAAATATTATAAATTTAAAGTTATAATTTTTCAAGTAACAAATTCATTTTCCAAAGTTAACATGTTTACAATTTTTTTTTAGTGATAAAATTAAAATTTTCACTGTCACGCCATTGTTCCAATTTCTTAAAGGATGAAATTATATATTGTAATTATTTTAAGTCAATGTACTATTGATTTAACATTTCAAAAATGGTTCAGGTCATTTTAACCTAGAGTAATCATTGTATTCGTACCGTGTTCATTTAAGACAATGAAGTTAATATTATTGTTAAAAAAAAAACTATAAAGAATGATTTATATTTATTAGCTCGTTATTATGAATATAAAGCAGGACCTTTTTCCACAATAGTAGAATTCAGTGTATTAGCGCCTTCAATCTCATCATGAGGTGAAACGACGCTACGTGTGTAAATTGCTGAAAAGTGAGGTTACATTAATTACTACAAAATTATACTTACAATTTCAATATCGGCAAATCCGGACATAACCAGATTTTTGAGGACCTCGCAGCCGATACCGCCGGCGCCGACGACGAGTACTTTGCTACGTAAAATCGCATCGCGTAAATCCTCATGAAACACACCTTTTACACTTGTTGCCATTTTGCCAACTGAAATCACTTTACTTTACAGCGACCGCCCGACCGGCCACCGGCGTCGCGCTCCCGTTCTCGACGGCCGACGGCAGCATTTTATTACGCATGCGCAGTGGCATTGTATAATATAGGGTGAGTTTTTAAATTATTCGTTTATGCCTGTTCCCACCAATGCAGATTAACTTTAATCTCGGTTTAACTTACTGTTCATCTTTTTCTAATTTTCAGAATTAGAAAAATATGAAGAGCAAATTGAACCGAGATTAAAATTAATCTGCATGGGTGGAAATGGGCATTCGCATTGGATGCATTCAGCAGACTCAACAGTTGACTGAGCGCTCGCTATTATTGGTGTATTCTTTCAGATCATCCAATCAGAATTTTAAATCTAGAAGAATGTACCAATAATAGCAAGCGCTCACTCAACTATTGAGTCCGCTGAACGCGCCCATTGGTCAATTTCTTACGACTTCTTTAGGGCTTTTTAATTTTAAAGCGAGGTTGTGGACTCAACCTAGGACTCTATTCTAACCGAAATCTGTATTTTATTGGCTGAATTTTAGCATTTTAGAATTAAGACCGAAGCATAAACCAGGTAAAAAGGTCTTACTTTGTAAGATTTTATTCTTTCTTGGATTCTTTTATTAATTAATTTTAGACCTTAGGTCTGTTTGCGCTGCTTGCATTTTTGCATTTAGCATCTCCGTTTTTTCTCTTTTCAACGCTCAAATATATATCGTTTTAAGGTCAAACGTTTTTAATATCTATTATCAAATTTAGCGAGCTTTTCTTTGATTGATCAAATTTATTCTACAGTCTAGATTACCGGCATAACGACAACGAACTGATATGAAAATACCTAGGTAGAATTACCAAATTTAGAGATTTTACCTGAAATTTAATGTTTTTTCTTTTTATTGGGAGACTTTTTAGGGTTACAAAAAGTTTAGGAAAATGTTCAGGTGATTTTTGGGGAGAAAAATATAAGAAAATCCCAAATTACACCTAAAATATTGAGAAAATCGCAGTATAAGGAATAACATTTTGAACACAGACTTGGCATCACTGTCTCCAGTGTCCCTAGACTTTCGACGGCCATCTTCATTCATCTCGCGTACAGTTGTCAATTTAAGAGGTCGGAGTCGGGCAGTGTCCGTCGGTGTCCGTCGGCCGGGGCAATTCGCCCAAGTTCACGATATGGAACGACGCCGTCGTGAAACGGTGATTATTAGAACGGGATCGACGATGCGCCAGCACGCCGCTACCGACATGGCGGATGTGACCGTACATTAATCGTCACATATAGGACACCCTCATCACCCGTCTACTCCTCCTCCTTCTCCTACTCATTGCCATCGTCGTCGTCGTCGCCGTCGTCGATCGCGTCGTCGGTCGTCGTTCTGTCTCGTCGTGCCGTGAGAACGTTACGCGAGGTACAACCGTAAAGTAAACTGCCGAGGGCGCCGCAGAGCGGAGTCGTTCCAAGTCGTGTGCGGCTCGCCCGTTCAAGAGAAGAGAGATGCTTGCATTGCTTGCGCGCACATGGTGACATCGTCTTCCGGGTCAGTTCGAATTCAGTTAATTCCGCGGCGGAGGTACACGGCCACCGGCGACGAGGCTTGCACGCCTCCTGGATACGATCGGCGGCTTCCCTGTGAAGGCCCCGGCGAGCTCGACGAAGCGGCGCCTTCATGGGGTCCTCATGGGGTGTAATGGCGATCGAGACATCGGGAGGATGTTTTGTTTCTCGTGAACGTTTTTGCCGAGTCCGAACGTTATGCTACGATTATCTTGCGGCTATTATTGTTTTGCTGCACCAACACCGATATCTCGATCTCAAACTTGGCGTGAAATTTAATTAGGTAGTTCTGCAAGTAGTAATTTCCGGTGGCGATTAGGAATCTGCTCCGTTTTACTCTTACGTTCCAAAATTGTGATTGAATTTAAAAAAAATGGGTGGTTTTTTTTAACTCGCTGTTCTACTTTTGCGTTTAATTATACGGCGATGTTATTAATATTCCGATCAGTGTTTTATTGAAATTGCAGTAACAGTTTGTGATTGTTTCACTAGTTGAATTCTGATGACTTCAATTCACAATCCTCAATCTCCCAATGCAGTGACACAGGCTTTAGACATTGTTTATAAATTATCTCAAATGACTTTTTAAATTGTTACTGATAAGCTAAACTTTAAAGTAAGTTTTTTTTGTTCTACTATTTGACACCTACTAGAAAAATTACATTATTTAGAGAACTGCTGGATTAATTATATAGGGATTAATTTTCCTTAATTTATTAAAATGTTTATTTTATTATATTAGTAGTGATGTTTTAATTTCGAATGAGAGAGAGAGAGAGAGAGAGAGAGAGAGAGAGAGAGAGAGAGAGAGAGAAGAAGAAGAATAGAGTCATATAAGATAATTTATAAGCATTATTTAAAGCCTATATTGGAAGTTTAGGATTGTAAGTTTAAAATTAAACTTTCACAAGTCAGATAATGTTTATTTAATTTTAATAATTTTAATTTGTTTTATTCTGATTGGCTGAATTCTAATCTTCAATTCGCAATCCTTAATTTCCAATGCAGTGATACAGGCTTTAGGCATTGCTTATAAATTGTCTCAAATAATTTTAAAGTGATAATAAGTTAAACTTTAAAACAAGTTTTTTGCTTCATTATTTGACACCTGTTAGAAAAACTACATTATTTATAAACAGCTGCTGAATTAATTATGTATGGGTTATATTTTATTAAAATGTTTGTTTTATCATATTATAGTAGTCATATTTTAAATGATAAAATTATATAAGATTGTATTTATAAGCAAAACTTAAGACTTGTGTCACACTGTATTAAAGAGTATTGGGAATTGGAGATTAGAATTCACACACACACACACACACACACACACATAGCCAGAAGATCATTTTTAATATTTAATTTTAATCTATTTTGTTCTGAAGTCTAATTTCCAATTTGCTATCCTCAATTTTCAATATATAGTGTGACATGTATTTAATAATTGTGGAAAAATATTACGAATTCATAAGATTGTTAAATTTGAAGATTATATTTAATTGATTTCATTAATATAAATTTATTTCATTTTTGGATTATAAATTATGATATTTTGTAATTTATTTTACTGACAAAGTAATTAGTAATTCTCTATATAGCATAATATGGAAGTATTGTTTTTTATATATATTCTGTGTGATTATGAAAGAGTATAGCATGAAACTCTTAATTACATTAACTTTATCAATTTATAAATTTTATTATAATTTTGCAATATTAATTCAATCGATATTAAAATAAAGTAATTTACCGATATTCAAATTTTAATATATATTTAATGGAGGTCAAGACAAATTTTATGTAATATTGAATCAGATTTTGCACTTCGTGAGATTAAATTAAGATTGATATTGAATATTAAATATTAGATTAATGTGAATATATATATATATATATATTATACATTTACTGATTTTAATATTATATCTTATTAATTTATTAATGTGTTTTGTTATTACTAACATTTTAAATCAATCTTATATTATAAGATCATATAAGATTATTTATAAACAATAGCTACTGGGAAAAACAAGTTCATAAGATTTCTGAATTTGGAGATTGCATTTAATTAATTTTATTAATATACTTTTATTTTTTCACTGATTATTAATTAATTAGGGTAATTCTCTAAACATATAGCATAATATAAAATATATTTTATTTTATACTCTACAGCTTCAATAAAATTTTGTAATATTATTGATGTCATGAATTTTTGATTATGTGCAGTTAATTCATCTCAATTTTATTACATTTTTATTGAATTATTAATTGAATAAAAATTAAAATACATAAAACAGTTTACTAATATTGAATTTCATATTCAAACAATAGTTGAAGCAATGTATAGTAAAGTGGATTGTATTATTTTATGAGATTATTAAATTAAGTTTGAATGTATATATATATATATATATATATATATATATATTACGTATGTTGAAAGAAACACATGCAATAAATTATAATATTTAACATAACTTTATACATACATGATGAACTCTAACATTTTACACGAACTTTTTTTACTGATGTTCCAATATTGAAGAATAAACAAGGAAGAATTAAATTTTTCAAGATAAACAATCTATAGCTGATACAAAGAGCTTTAATCTAAATATAGGTTTTTGTATTTATAGCAAATCTGAAGTATGTAGATATGTCCCAGAATACACTTAGATAGCAAACATTGTGAATGACCCCTCATATCAAACACCATTCAGTATAATACAAACATACGTGATTATGTCTGTAGTCATGCTAGCAATTATATGAACATGTGAGTGATGCAAAATTGCAGCTCTTTTAGCATCTATCTATCATAGGAACAGCATTCAAGTATTGATTGCAGCAACATGGTGTGCTATGGGAGGAGGGTTGAAATCCAGGCATGGCAGACCTACCTATTATATCTTATACTGTCATTCAGCTTTTGTTTCCATTAACAGTTTTCAAATACATCCAGATACAACAGTTATACATAAAAATATATTTAAAAAATGTAATTATAGAACACACACACAAAAATGTCACAAAAATTATAAAGTATATTACAAAATGATTTAAATATTTTAGAATAAATTTGCAAGTTATATAGTTTAAATTATGATAGTTACTTTAATTAATTATATTTATAACGATTATAAAATAATTTTTTAATTTGTTATATTCATATTTGCAAAAATTTTATACACATATATATATATACATATATGTACATATAATTTTATTATATAAAACTAATTTTTAATATTACTTTTGTTTTTGTAATTTTTATTTTCATGATTTTGATGAATATGTTTTTTATACTTATATTTATGTACTTTGTATTAATTGTTTTTATTTTACACTGACTGTAAACATGCGTGTCAAACACATTTTACTTATTTTAAATTTATACAAGCTAACTATAGTTATCACGTGATAAAATTACTCAAGGCTTGGATTAAATGTCGTAAATCG